CTCTCTCTCTCTATGAATGAGTTTTTAAGTTCCTCGCTCTCTGTAACTTCTTTCTAAACTACTCTCTCTCACTCTCACTCTCGGTCTCTCTCTCTCTCTCTAAGTAATATGGCAATTAGAAATTTAGAAATATTGTGATATCCCCTCTTTCTCTCTCTAGGTAACATACCAACTCTCTCACACTCTCTCTCTAGGTAATATAGCAATTAGAAAGATGATATCTAAAACAAAAATAAATTATTCACCTGAAAAAATGACAAAAATAAATTTGAGAAAGAGAAAAGAATATAAACCTTTGTATTTTTTTGAGTGCAACTGATTTCTTCAATATAAATTTCAAGATTAAAAAAGAAAAGAAAAATAAAGAGAGAGAATTGAGTTTTTAAATACTAGATTTCACAATTCAACGGTAGACTAAGTTGAAGGCTCAAACTACATCTGCTTCTTTTTTTTTCCTTTTTTTTTTTTTCTCTTAAGGGTGGAGCTATATGTTTTCATTGCTTTAGAAGGAGCTTGGGTCTTTTAAGGGCCAGATTCAACCCTCGATAAGGATGCCAATGGGGCGGGGTGGCCCTACCCGGCCCAATTGGCCTGTCCCTCAAAAAATAACGCCTTGGCCACAATAATGTGGCTCGAATGCAGGACTATGTAGGGCCGGCCAAGCCCTTTACTTCTTTAACTTTTATTTTTTTGTTTCAATTATGTCTAGCCTCTCCCAACTTGTTGCTAGCGAAGGGTTGAACTAAGGTAGTTTGTCGACCCTGCAAACTAGTTTGACAACCCTTCGAGGGTTGAACTAGCCTCGGTCAAACCAAAAGCATTGAGCCAACTTCTAGTTCGACCACAAGTCGTCAAATTAAGCTTCGTTTGAACCTTGAAGGGTCTAACTAGCTTCTGATTTTACTTTTGGTCAAACCAGAAGCTGCTTTGAACCAGGCCAGTTAGCTTGAACCTTGAAAGGATCAAATTCGAACTACATCTAAAAGTAAAAATAAATGAAAGTAGTTTTACCCTTTAGGTGTCAAACTACTTCTATTTTTACTTTTATGCTTTTTCTCAAAAAAAAACCCAAAAAGAAAGAGAGAAATTTGACTCAATTCACCTACTTCGAAAATTGAAGGTCCGAAGTTTAGTTTTGTGACTTTTGTCCCTACAAACATTATCCCAAAGATAAACTTCGAACCTTGAAGGTCATCAGAAGTTTACCTTAAAAAACAAACTTTAGACTTTGAAGATCCACAATTTACCTTTAAAAACAAGAGATTGTGTATATTATGTGATTATTTATCACAATTACTTCTAGTCATTAAATGTCAAATTGGATGGCTTAAAAGTTTGATTTTTTTTTTTTTTTTGAACTCTGAAGAACCACCCGGTTTGAAATCAAATGGACAAGAGTGGTTGTGTCGTCTTCATAATAAAAGTTTTTTTTTTTTTTTTTTTGAACCAAGTTAAACTTTGGTCTTAAGGTCCGAAGTAGGGGCAATTTGATCGAAAACAAATAAAAAATAAAAAATAGGTATTAGCATAAAAATAAACTTTTAGAAGGGATATTTAAAATAGGGTACGGTTTGTATAGAGCTTAGGCTCTAAACAATCAAATTAGAGCCTACCTTAAAATAGTGTTGAGAAATGTGGTTTCAATATTGAAAATCTTTGTGATAGCCTAAAAATATATTTTCATCTTTATTTATCAAGTTTAAAGCTTCAAATTAGTGTAGATTGACAGATCTATGAAAACTTGAAACTCTTGAAAATTGGCGGTCCAAAAATGCATTACAAAATACACTATTTCCAAAACTTGAAATCCATTTTTTTTTTTTCTCATATTCATGCATCTTGATGTCGAGATGATCAATTTGAGGATATATGGGCATCAAAACAACCTCTTTTAGTGAAAGTTTTGAGGTAGGCTCTAATTTGATTGTTTAGAGCCTCGGCTCTATGTAAACTTTTCCCTTTAAAATAACATGAATTTGGAGCAACATGCACTCAAATTTCTTAAAAAAAAAGAAAAAAAAAGAAAAGAAAAAAAAAGGTAAACGAAAATGAATTTAGAGGGATATGCACTTAAAATGCAGTTCAACCCTTCAAGGGTCCAACTACTCCTTAAGTAGTAAACCAAAAAAATGGCGAAATAATCGTAATTACGGTCGAACTAGGGGCAATTTAGGGAATAGAGAGAAAAAAAAGGGACCTTTTTATAAAATTGAAAAATGTCTATATCATTTTTCTAATTTTCAAAAAAATAAAGGAAATCTTTAAATACTCATCTAGCGATTCAAAGGTAGGTCTCAAACTGCTAGACTGAAAAAGTCCTCTTTAGTAGATCTTTTGTTGGAGTAAATATGTATCAAAAGTGGGCCTCAAACTTCTGTTCTAAAGAATGCCTCTCTAGTAAATCATTTGCCTAAGTGAGTAAGTGTATCGTGGACTCTTGCAA